TCTAAACCCCACGGAACGGTCAAATAATCTGTTCGACCTCTTTTTGAATTACTCGGTATTACTCGATAATAATATTTCATACTGTCGACTGTTTTAAATGCATTTCCTATTTCTTCACTCTGCAAATCAAACAACACAATCCCTTTAGAAAGTAGGTACGTGGATTTGAAATATCCCCGTCTCGGAATAAAAATTGAATTGTAATAAAAGTGATCAAGTTCTTCTAAAAAAGACGTTTATGTAGGATTTACTATATCACATGGATTTATCTGTGTGCAGTTTACAATCTGATTCAAAAAATCAAACTTCACCTGTTAATGAGATTCACTTTGACCAAAATCAAATTCTGCTACTATCTAACGAAGATTAAATGGTAACGTAAAAATAAATGGTTCGCAAGTATCATCATAAAAGGTTCAGAGTGTCTTCTGCCAATTTTATTCCGAGCATTAATATTCCACTTTATCTGTCCTCCTAGAATATCCGCAACAACTGTCGGGTGAAATCTATCACACTGGTGAGGAAATGAAAAATGGCCCGCCGTTTAGGCAGGTTTGAACATGATGAGGCGGGTAATTTTTAAAATATTGTCATATTTGACCTCCCACTGAAGACTGTAGCCAGAATTTTTTCATTTTTTCTGCTTACTGGATCGAATGCATCGTTTGACTGGGGAACGGAACTGCTGCACAGGCTTACGTTTGGGGTAGAGTGTGAGAAAAAACTACCACTCGGAAAGATACTTCAAATTCCGGTTTTCTGCGCGTGTGACGATACGGAAGCTGGTGAAGAGCACGATAGATTCGCAGTGAGTGAGTTCACACGCCTTGGATGTGGCTGACGTGCACTAATCAAGTGCATCTTTCATTTCGTCACTAGAGTGATGGATGCTAAGTATCCGATGTCATGTTTTGTCTCAAGGGTAGTATTCGCAGTAAAATTGTCTGGAGGTATCTGGACCATCCATGTATTATGATGCTTTTCCAAGAGCTAAGAGAACCATTTATTTCTGTGTTGTGATCTAATTTTCGTCACATGGCAAGCGAGTTCGATATTTATCAAAATAGAAAGAAGCTGTGTAAAACTTGGAACCTGCAATCACAGGTTAAGCGTGATTTGCTTTTACTAGAACATATCCTCGGCTGTGTTATTAAGAAAACTTCATGTGCGCTGTTTTGTTTTTTATAGGTGTCTCGATGTCATGGTGCAGCTTCCACAGATCTGTCTTTTTCTTGATGCTGGTAACCACCATAAAACAAGCCTTTGTCTAAACATTCTAAAGGATTGGTGGTGAGGGTTATTTACAACAGAGTTATCAGTCTACCACAGGGTAGTGCGTTGTTTCGTTTGATAGGTAAAGAGTGGAGAAATTAGTTAAAACACCCGACATATAATGGTCGGGGAATGCAATCCGTAAAGGGGTCCGATTACCATTTGGTATTTCCAGCGGATCTGTACATTGCAACTCTTCTACTGTTATTTCAAACTAGCTCATTGTATGCATTTGAAGAATCAATTGGATGTGGAAAGGTCGCTGGATGGTCTTGCTTAAATCACATTTCCTTCCCCTTTTCACAACGATTTTCCTGGCGAGAAATGAGAACGTAAATGAGAAATAAGATCCATGCAAAAGTACAACATGGGATTACAAACAGAAGTTAATTGATAAAATCGGTTATCAGAATGGTAATCTACGTCTAACGCCTCACTCACTGTGCAACAAACTTCCTGAAGTCAGAAAACAAACCCTTACAGTTCACACCTACGAAATGTGAGGGAAACATTAATCAGAATTTTTCAATTGATTCTTTATTACATTTTGTGCTACTGGAGGTACCCTTTTTCTGTGGCTTGTGTCCAAGGAATTTCATCTGGATGCTTTTTAAAAACAGTTTCCAGATAAGGAATTTTTTTCGTATTCAGCGCTTATCTGTTTCATTATCAGTCAACCCTGTTCAGCTTGTTGTCGTTTCTGCGAGTAGATTCCAGCTGACATTTCACATCCCCTCCACCGGACACTTTTTCGCTCCATACCGAACTCTGTCCATCCATATAAATACAAATCATTAAATAATCATCCCGCAGCTTTGAAAAACTCCAATATGTTTTAATCTTCTTCACTGTATTGTATTCTATTGTGGTGACTTGCCCACACAGCTATCTCTATATCTCAGATTTTAGAATATGATCGCTATTACAGGGTGACAAAAATGATGAGTGGGGTACATGAAAGCGATAAAGTGCAAATGAAAGGTGGATCATCTATGTGGATTTACACTGATTTCGTGTGGGACCGTCTTCTTTTCAGTAAGAATGCTACCCAAATAGACTACTGTTAAAGGTAAGTTTTATAATGGGAATACTCATACGCATTGCTTTTCTTGTCCCATAGGGGTTTTTCGCACAACTGGATCGGTTTTTCGATCACCGAGAGATGAGGAATATCACAAATTTTCATTGTTTCGTGTACTGACTGCTAAGGATGTCAAAATTTAAGACAGGTGATTGAAAGAATCGATGGTCGGCTCAAAAACAACGTGAAGTGGTAGGGAATTCCGAATGTTACAAAATCTGAGAGCAAATGAATTACACTGACATTCTAATTGACGGTTTTCAATCTCGATATAAGTTTATATAGGACGTTAAACAGCAAGACCTGGATCCCATTACGGCTTGGGAACCTCAGGTGGGTGTATTGGGATTGAGAATACGTCTGTAGTTAGTAAAAGCTTCGAACGCAAAACTCTCGTGGAAGAATATAGGAAAATCAAGCCGCAGGGTGACAGTGAAGTATGATTGGAAAATTACACAGATAACTAAAAGAACAAATGTTGAAATGATGTGCCCACAGCTTGCGTATTTCAAAAAATAATAAGGGCAGTTTAACAACATATGCCTGCACATGGGCGAAACACATTTATCGCTCTCTAATGTGACTCCTGGGCATATGTAAAGGGGTGTGGTCTAACTGAGTAATAAGGTGATTTTCGAGGGCTCCAATGGATTTTCAGATTACGAAACACTAAAAATGCACGCGAAATATTCCCACAAAGATCAGATTGGTCTGAAAATTGTCACTCTTGTCAGAGTTCATTTCAAACCGGTTTGAATGGGCCTTATCTGAAACCACATCATCAGCATATATTTAGGGATCTTAGCGGCAAGGATAAGGGATAGATCACTGTTAAATGTGGAAAAGAAGTATAAGAAGGTACAGTACCCTAAAAGACTACAAAATTAATGACTAACTGTTTCGAATCAGTTCCGTTTACTTTCCTTCTTGGAATCCTTCCCGAGTAACTGTCATTTAACCACGATTATTATGTGATGGAACCGCCCGCTAGTGGTAAGTTTCGGAAAAAACAGAAACGAAAGCTGCGAGATAAACGAGGGCAACAGAACGAATGAATTTGGGGAGGCTGTTGTACACTCGGTACAACCAACTCAAGGGGGTTGAGACGCGGAATTTAGGGGTGGACAGCCGAAACAACCGTGACCAGGCTGAAGCGACCAATGCCGCGATCTCAGAACCCGTTTTTTGCAACCCTAATTCTTCGTTAACCAAACTACAATGTGCCCACCGGCTGGAATTAATTGTTTTACGCAATTATAGGTCATCCGGAAGCAGACCCTGACATAATAACTGCCCCTAGCACACACGTTAGCAGATATAGGTTCACGGGGTGGCAGATGGTAGCTTGACTTTACTGGCCCTCGTTTTATTATCTCCCGCAGTGTGAATTTGGCCACATCCGTATCGATCCAAGTAAACACGACTGACCATTCTAAGCTTGTCCAAGAACTGCTGCGCTATGCGGACACCACATTGGTTTCTAAATATAGCGGATTTAATTAGTTGCATGGTTTCTCTGTCCGCCTGTATATGTTTGGCCATTTGAAGAACTATGACATAAGGGAATGTTTTTTTCCTCCAGTTCTCTTCTTTAGCTATCCGGTTCAATTCTCCTAGTCCCTCGATTTTGACGATGATTTACGTTTCCATATTTGCACCACGGTGTATCCTGGAGCAGTTCTTTAACCTTTTGAACATAGCCAATATATTTGATTTCCTATGCCATCATACCTCATCCTGTGTCACTGGGTCAAGTTAGTGACACTGATGACAATTACTTTAACCATCTTTTAACATCGTTCCGGTCGCGTTTTTCATAAAATATCGGAGTTTACTTTCCGCATTAGAGCGGATGCGACAGTCTGTCTTGCATGGCGCGCTCAGGTCGCCCAGATAGGCTGATAGTTTAACTTTTTCAAGTCTCCCCGTTATTCCTTATTTTCAGAGTTTTCCCGACATGGAAATTCACTCCACTGATGAAATCTTACGTGCTATTTTTGATCGGTCCTAATTCTTCGATTTCCTTGTTTCTAATGCCATTTTTAGACGCTGGTTCATTGCTTCATTCGGCTGTTCCATTTGTTGTTTTTTCCAGTACCGTTCGACATTTTACCCCTTCATCTTTCACGAATTCTGATTGGAAATCGGATTGAGATTCTACAGCATATGGTGACCTGATCTACCGCAATACTTATAGCAGTGGGTTATCGATTCACAACAGTGAAGACAAATGNNNAAATGAACCCGTGTTGTATATTCGTGAATAACCTTACTTGACACGAACACGATTTATGAACCGTTAAAGTCATCGAGCAAACTCGGTTACAACAGGCCAGAAAATTTGCGGATGGGCGACACCCTCCAACTAACACAGTCAATCGGCACGTTCAATCGGATAATGTGTACGTGCTGATGTGACTTAAGAATCAGATGACGTAACAAAAGAGCAGTCATGTCGTGACCCGAGAACAGACTCGAGACGGTGGAAAGAAAAGAAACCCCTCTAGTCGTGTATGCAAAAGAGAATGATTATGCTGAACAATATCGACTGAACCAGGTTGGCATAAGATGACCATCAGTCTACTGAAATTAGAGGACCTATGCACCTTTAGGAACGTGTGCGAATAAAAGCGGTTAGTGCACATGCTCAAAACAGTGCCATGAGAACGCGACCGCTAGACATGAGACCTGTGAGAGGTGTGACGTAATCAGTGTCATCAAACAATCGGATCACAGGGCTTCTAGTGGTACCCGTTTTGCTTTCATAGGTTGCACTGGAAGCCCCGTTGTCCTTTGTGTATGACTGCTTCTCATGCAACGCATGAATCTTTGGTGAAATAAACCTATCCGATTCCATAGTGTTAAGAAATCGATCCAGTGGCCGAAATACACCAAATAAAATCAACCGGAAATTGACAGCAGACTGGACGAGAATGAGCCACAGTTTGTGGATAACAGCATCCCCTGGATAACGGTAAAAATTGAGCATCGTTTCTGGAATAATAGGTAAACGAGTGACTCACATGATGCATTGGTGTATGGATTACAATGCATTTCAATGAGCTGGACGCTTTCCAGTTTGTTGATGCTACAGCATTCTGACGGGAAGAGCACCATGCACGACCTCAGTAGAAAAATATGGCACCTGTGATTAACACATGTCACCAATGTATTCTCTCTGACACTTATCCCACCCCCAATTCATCCTTCTCTCTCCGTTCACATCCGTTGTACAGGTAAACTGAATGACGATGCCGTCAGATACACGCCCTCCAAGCAGTAAGCAAGTAGTAACACTGAGGTTCTGGTTGTGTATGCTGGGCAAGTGAGAACTGACGATCGGTTAATGACCCCCACCCCCATGCTGGGCAAGTTGCCAGGGTAGGTCATGTTTTGTGTTCTGTTGACACTTGGACACAAGATGATTTGCATAGGTTGTGTGATCATTTATACAAGCGTACACACCACACACACTCAGCTCACCTTCCGGAATGGACCGTCAGTGTCAACCGGTTCCTCTTCACCAGGTGTGTTCCAAATGCATGGAATAGCAAATCAGTTGTCAAATCTGTTTCGGTGGCCCAGGTGAATTGCATGCGGCACGGTAACAGAGACAATGGTAAAACCTCTTAACGGCAAAAGACGTGGGTGCGGTTTGACAAATGCACCCAAGCGATTACCTTTTCTGGTCATGTTTCATTTTCCTTAGGAACAGAAACGCTTTTTTCTCATATTTTCAACCCAATTGGGTGTAAATGAGTTGAAACTTCACAGTTGTGATCAATTGCAGAGAACCAGAAACATTGTACCTGACGCTATGGCAATGTCAAACGCGTCACATATATAGATAATTACATAACCTAAGTGAATGTGTGTACATGTGTGTGTGTGCACTAGGGGCCGAAAATGAACTTTGCCGGTTGTACCAGATGTGTTCAGGCACTTAGTTCACCTACATTTTAGTGACAAAGACTGTGCAGTGCAGTCATTTATTCGGGGACCTTGAAGTGATCATATTGTGAGAGATGTGATATCGGATCTTCGTTTTTACGGAGTTGCTTAAACCCACCACTGGTGCACAACACGCATCGACGCAGTCTCTCTCTCAACCACTGTCCCATGAGGCATGCGCGCATGCATCTATACCCCGAACACAAAGCAGACAGCTATTTCGGTGTCTTGGAATGGTTAACTACATTGCACAACGCGATGCGTTTGATGGAAGTTAATTACTGTTATAGGAACACTAATTCTTAGGACAGAATAAATAAACTATTACATTCCAGATGATCGCCACCTTTTCTACTCGAATCATTAGGAAAGCACAGCTAATATCCACTTCAAATGGTGCTACTTCTGGAACATTCTTCCAATGGTCATGTCACTGCGATGTATCACTTCAGCCGCCACATGTTTATTTTTTCATGCTTTCGTGTCTTTTCTGTCGTGTGGTGCCAAGGTTAAAGAAACCCATCGGGCTTTTCCCGTATGCATGACGTGCATAAACTGACCAAGTGGTTGGGGCCTTCGAATTTGACTATAATTACGTATGCCAGCGTCGGACTGCAACCACTTAACTGTTGCATCAATTCGTGCTCTTTTTTCACATCACATTTTGCTTGTTCCCATAACGGTGGGCTTTGTACAACTAAAGTCATATCCACCAGGAAATATTCTTGCAAGCGACTTGAATCGTTCTGAAGCAAGTTTTATTCCGGAGAGAAGTGTCTAAATTTGGAAGAAATATCCGCAATAAATTCGAATAATTCATTAGAATATCTTGTGATATCAACGGAAGCATCCAAAAGGATGGGCAGTGTCCCTGTACAGAAAACCTACTGCATGCGTATCTCAGACATATGGTTACCAGGTATGTGTGGCTGTAACGTCCGTTCAATGATTGAAAATTTATCAGGTATTTAGGATTTCATTTGAAGACGTGTATTCACATAAACAGGTATTCGTTTTCTTCAGGGGTACTTAGTGGCTATGGGGTAATTTCCTGCTCAGTTCATAAAACTAGGAGATTATGATCACACCGGGTTTATCAGTACTAGAATCTTGTTCACCTATTTCATCGCTCCAACCGAAGCCAAGATTCCTGAACATTTCTCGTTTCAGTATTCTTGGCAATATCTGCATTTCTCTGCCATGCATACTTGACGGTTTTTGCAAATTCGGCTAACCGCTTTCTACCCCCACTATTGAAAAATCTTGCCACTCCCTCCAGCTTTGTTTTGGGGGAGTATAATCAATCCAATCTAGAGAACTTCCGGGAATTTTATTTAAACTTGCCGAAAAAGAGTGTTACGGCCTATATTTAAGACTACTATAATTTAATAGCATGATTAGTCCCGAAAACAGAAGCAATATAGACGCATTTAGTTCAGTGATACAGACCACGAAGCAAATCTTTCTCGGTACCAAAAGCCGGACCAAAAGGGATCGATTATTGTTCACTCTAGTTTGTTGTCTTATCATTTCGAAAATTCACAGTGTGAAAATGTATTGCTTTTGATTCACCCATTCAATCGCAATTCACATGTAATTGAATGAGTGGCATCTGCAGCGCCACTGTTCATCCCAGTGCATCCGCAGTGGTACTTGTACAACTGTATCGCCACACATCCACTCGACAGATGTGGACCCGAATCGTCTGGAATCAATAATAAAACCGCTTTTATCAATCAAGTCCCAGTTACTACAGATCGATATGTGAGAGAATTTTTGTGATGGGTATTTCACTTCACCTGGATTGTTCACGAATAACTTTGGGGTAATTGGATACCATTTAACATTGGCCAAATGATGATCACGAAACTCGGTTGAGACGGCGTTGATAGTAAAATGTGCCTGTTCGCCATCATCTGATATGTGGTAACTTTTGCCATATCAGAACCACCAACAGGTGAATCCTGACCCCAGTATCCACATAGGCTCTGTTTTGTGGACAAAATGTGCAGACTCAATGGGCAACTCAAGGTGGAAAATTATGAACAGACTTCCCAGCGAACTACGGAAGTTTGAAATTATGAATAACCAAATTCGCTGTGAACTACGAGTTGATTCAGCTGAGTTCAATAATGTGGCTTCTTTCAAACCCGTGACGTTCTAACAAGTTTGACATCACTGAAAGATAGGACACTATCAAATACTTCTTGGATTGATATTTTATAAAAATTCATGTGTTCCGTATCATTCCAAATGAATGCGCCAGTACGCCAAGCCAATATCTCTGTTCCAAGTTGCCCGGTGAATTCGACTCGGTTTGGACGCACCATGTCTGGTAACTGAGAATTTGTTTTTAATTTAGAACAGTGTTAAAAGGACCAATGCTAAGTCTCGACACTAAATCCTCAACAAGCGTTCGTCCACTTCTTGACTTCTCGTAATACCCTCCCCCAAACCGTCCCCGTCCCCAAACCGTCCCCAAAGATCGGAATCAAATTGCATACGCATTTTATGTTATCATCAACTAATATCAAAAACCTGGTTCTCAGATAATCGGTTTATCCACCACGTAAATTATTACCCCGGAGTGGGTCTTTCAGGGTATCGTTCGCACAGGAAACTGAATACGATAAGTGACTTATTAACCTGTCCACAACTGGCAGGTAAACAGGCTGAATATTTCAAATGACCTAATAGTCAAAGCAAAAATGCTTTTTGTACCTGAACAGATCGACCATAACTCGTTGTCCTCCGAAAAGCTGTCACGCAAAAGGACTGATTCGAGAGAAATTTTAATGAATGAACCGTGGCATAATGACCACAAGGAAGTTGACCAGCGTGTAGCTCCGTGCGCTTCGCATATCACTGCATGATTCCAGCCATCAGACTTATCACGAAACAGCGCTCTGGCGCAATCAACTTGCCCGACATACTTTGTTTTTAGTTTTTTTTTGATACATTAAACACAACCAGTTCAGAGACCCGACCGCTGCACGTATTCACTTTGTTCAAATCCAGAAACCTCCGTTGTTCAGCTGTATATTTTGATAAATCCACGCAAAGTATTGTCAACATGACCGATATTTCTGCCATCATTGATATCTGCTTCCTTGAATTTCAATCACAAAGGTGATGTTGAAACCATTGTATAGGTTACCATTTTTATCATCTGTGTGTCTGCGGTGCGTGTGACTTATGAACTGATGGAAGAGAATCGGTGGGTGAGGAGAAGTGGTCCAATGAATTCTCACTGTTCTGCACACTGTTCGACTGTGTAATTGAAGCACAACTTTTCCGAGACAAATAAAGAAACCCAGCACTGAGCCCGGTCGCTGTTCCAATAGCCAAACATCTACGGAGCTCACAGTGCGCAACATGTTCGATCGATTTCCACACGATCTCACTAACTAAAATTGATCTGGAAGAGAAAATCTATCCGAAGAACAATCATTTAGTTGTCCTGATTTAGCTTCCCCGAGTATGTGAAGCTGAAACACGATAATAATGAACCACCAATTTGGTTGTTAAAGTATTCGATGATTGTCAATCTGTAATGTTTGGACGATTGTGGTCCATTTCACCGAGTCAACTTCATCTCACGGTTTTATGAATGTGCACAGGAAGGCTGTTTGATTTCAGTTGCACACTGTGCAGATCGGTTAGGATAGAACACAAGCGAGATACTGTGGAGATGGAACAAATGCCAGGCGGTTGCACACTATAAGGACGTACAAAATTGGTCTGTGTGGGGGATGGTATAATATAATGAAAGAATTAATGTTCGTAACCACATTGATAGATTAATGGGTTCGGCTTTAGGATGATTCAGCTGTCCAAGCATGTGCCGATTTCTGTCTTATTTAACCTCATCAGTTTCAGGGCCAACAATAGTCAGTCACTTTGCTGTCATTCGCAGTCCAGATAAATTCATCTCCTCAATCGAGTATTATTGATTTATGCGTGCATGCTCACCCATGTTTCGATGCTACCGAATAGATAGTATCACTCACACGTGTTCACTGATGCGCGTACACGGGT